CGGGGGGGGGGGGGGGCGGACATTCTGCTCACATTAAATATCTTCATCCAAACCTCAACTACGACCATGATCTTACAGCCTAGTTGAAGGTACTCTTGATAAAAACAAGTTGCCAAAAGCTGATATAAAAAATAAATATATATGGGCTGCACTGAAGTCTGTATTTCTACAAATGCTTTAAAGATTTGCTGGCAGAAACCAGTGATTATGTAACAAGTCGATTTCAAAAATTACACCTCTTACAATTACTGTACATCCTGATAAGACAGTTGAGATCAAGTCACTAAACATCCTTACAATTCAAATAGAAGGAAATGGATTAACTCTCTGCTTAGGGGAAAAAAGAAAAGGATTTATGATGAGAAATCTGTACCAATCTTCCCGAATAGTTAGGGAGGAATAAGTTAAGGAGGTAACACAAATTTGGTGACCGTGAGGTGAAGTGCTAATTTATGGTCCTTTGAAACAGAAAGCGGTGTCTGATAGGTGTCTACGCTCACTTAGCTTGGCTGGGCGGTGAGCAACGAAAGCTAGTGGTTCTCCGCAGCGCACCCGAGGGCCAAAGCTTTTTTTCCCTCCTGGCTCTGCCTCGCTGGTTCTCCCCAGCACCGGCTCTTTGGGGTCAACGAAGGTTGGGGGCCCTCCTTCTCACTCTCCAGACCCGGGAGCATCCAATTCCGGTATCGTTGGCGGAGCTCTTGGGCCCCCGCGCCCGGGAGGGAACTGGCCTCCCAGCGAACCGCCCCAGGCATCCGGGCCACCCCCCAGCTCGTGAGTCCGGGCCGCCGGGCCGAGCGCAAAGACCTCGCGTCGCCGTTTTGGAAAGCGACACAGCTCCCAGTTCGGGCGCAGTCCCCGCAACCCGGGTCCCGGCTGGGGCCGCGCCGAGTCCCTAGGACTTTGACGGGTTAGGGCAGGCGACGCCGAGAGCCAAGCCGCCTCCAGCCCTCCCCAGCCCTACCCCAGCGCCGGCTCCAGTGCCCGAGCCCGGCGGCCCAGCGCCGCGCCGCGCCGCGCCGCGCCGGGAGAGAAGCAGCTGTTCCCAACAGCTGGGGGGCGGCGGCGCAGGGCGCCCCAGGTGCGGCCGCGGCCAATCGCAGGCGCCCGGCCCGCCCCCTCCCCAGCCAGGCGCCGACCCCCGGCCAGCGGGGGAAGGGAGCAGAGAGGGGGAGAGCCGTCCTCGCCACTTGTCTTCCAGCTTCCGCGGCGGGAGGGACGGAACCCGAGCTGAAGCGCGCGGAGTCCCCCGCCCCGGGCTCCGCCGCCTCGCCCCCCGCCCGCCCACCTCCGCGCCCGGGCGCTCTCACCGCCGACCTTCCCCGCGCCGCACCCGAGACACCTACCTAATTTCTAGGGAAGAAAAATCTACCTCTAAACGCACCCAGTTCTTCGCTTGAGGACCACCCTCCCTTTTCAGCTTTGGTCTCCCCGCCGGGTGAGTGGAAACCGTTTGCACATCCTACAGAACCGGAGCCTAACCCAGACGATCCGGAGAATTTGTACCGTGACCGGCAGGGGGTCCTCGCCCCCGGGCTCGCCCGCAGCCCCCGGCGGCCGCGCAAGAGTGCGGGAGACGCCGAGCCGGAGGAGGAGGCGCAGCCGCTGCCCCAGCCGCAGCCGCAGCCGGAGCCGGAGCCCGAGCCGCGGGGCGGGCGCGAAGATGCACACGACCCAGAAGGACACGACGTACACCAAGATCTTCGTCGGGGGGCTGCCCTACCACACCACGGACGCCAGCTTGCGCAAGTACTTCGAGGTCTTCGGCGAGATCGAGGAGGCGGTGGTCATCACCGACCGGCAGACGGGCAAGTCCCGGGGCTATGGATTTGTAAGTTGCGCGGATGGGGATGGTGGTGGAGGGGGGCGATAAAGAGCTCGGCGGGGAAACAGAGGACCACGGGGACGGGGAGGGGCAGAGTGGCGCTTCGCCCGAGGGGTCGGAGTTGGGAGTGAGGGGCTCGGCGTGGCCGCGCGAGGACCCCAGCGGACGTGACCGGCGCTGCCTCTTCGCTCCCGGCTGAACTGAAAGTTTGCGCGCGGCGGAGCTGGGGAGGGAGGGCCGGCGCCTGCCTCGCGGGGTTCCGAGGGGACCGAGAGCGCTGCGGTGTCGGGGGACAGGCGGAGCAAGGGTGGAGGGAGAGAACTGTGATGACTGCCGGATTTGGGGGTGCGGAGGTCTGGGAGGGAGGGGCCGTAGCCCCTTCGAATTGCACTCCCGGGTTGGAGGCCGGTCGTTAAGCGCGCTGTTGCTTTGTAAAAATGTGTGTGTCTTCCTGGCATTCTGGCTGGGGCAGGGAGGGGACACCCCAGGAGGTCTGGGGCTTTTCTTCTTATGCCACTCCTCCCCACCCCTTTTTTAATTGCAAAGATGAGTTCTTTTAAAAGATGAACCTCTGGCTCTTTCTTTGCCGAAATGAAAGAGAACATAGTAACCTTCCTGGAGATTTCAGCGAGCAAATTCAGCTGCCGAGGAGCCGGGAGCCCCAGCGTAGGACAATAGCTATTGTCGCTGGGGAGTGTTTGCGGGGTTGGGAACACCGGCCGGATGTGAGGCTAGTCTTTCTTTAAAGCAAACAGTGCCTCTCAGGCCGGGTAGGGACCCGGGGAATCGGCGGAGGGGGAATCTGGAGGAGTTCTAAGACAGAATTCAGGCTTCCAAATCTCTGCTAGGCCCTACTAGCACCCTTAGAACTTTGGGGGGGTGAGAGGGCGGTGTTTCTTTCCTCCTTTCTGTTTCCTCCTTTCTGTTTTCTTCTTTTGTTTTGTTTTGTTTTGTCTTGGATGGAGGATCAAGGGATAAGTTCCAGCCCCCCCCAAAAAAAAAGAAAGAAAAAGTTTAAGACCCCCCCGCCCCTCAGTTTTATTAATGACTTCTCCAGTGCGATTGTTGGTTTCTTCAGGGGTTGATTTAGAGCTTTGTGTGTATGTCTGTGTGTGTATGTTGCTAAGGTCACCATGGCTGACCGGGCTGCTGCCGAAAGAGCCTGCAAGGATCCCAACCCCATCATTGATGGCAGGAAGGCCAATGTGAATCTGGCATACTTGGGAGCAAAACCAAGGATCATGCAACCAGGTGAGCAATGTCCCTCGATGCCCCACCCCCAACTAGAGACACACACACACACACACACACACACCCCTCCCCGCCGCCACTTCTGAATAGAATGAATCCCTGATTGGGAAGACAATAATTCCCTGAGAATCTGTAGATGTTTAGTAAAGGTGAGCTGTGGCTGGTTATTCTACCAAGGCATTAAAGGTAGATGAGAGTTGTGAACACTCCTTTCCTGACTTGAAATGTACCTGTGGGCAAAAAATAGATCTTGGGGGTCAGTTCAGTTTGCACACACCCAGGCTTGAGCTTGACTCATCTGTTTCCTATATACAATCATAGTTCACTCTCCACTTTCTGGTTTTTAGCCACTTGTAGATCATTCACACGTGGATGCTATGGGCCAAATGTGTCAACTCCAGCTGGTTATACTTCTTAGTGTTGTCTCTCCTTTTGCCACCCGTTGCCCTGTGTTCAGAGCGGGCAATTCAACTGGAACACTGAGCCAAGAGAAGCATAGGGGTGGTGGTGCCTGGCTGGTAAATGTTCAAAATAAAGTCCCAGAATATATTAGTAATGAAAGAGGATGAAGAGATTTCATGCACTCCAGGACCCTTATGTCACAGATGCAGAAACTGATGCAGAGATGAGAAAGGGTTTACTCCAAAGTCACATAGCTATTAGTCACCAAAAGGGAGAGAATTTTGCTTATGTGAAAACATGACCTCTTGAATGGTTTACAACACTGCCCTTTGCACGAGCACAAATAATTGTGAATCGACTCGAACAAATGTAATCTTTTTCTTCGGCATGCAACTTTGATTAAGTCGTGTACTCTTCATTCTTAAGTCTGTGCATCTGAAATTCTGGAAAGAGGTGGACACTTCAATCCAAACAGATTTACTAGGAAACTAGGTTGTCAAGAAAGGGAGTGCATGTGCAAATATTTGTGAGCATTGAAAAACACGTATTTGTCTAATACAGTGTGTGTGTGTGTGTCTGTGTACGCTATCCAGAAAAGAAAGAAGAGTTTGTTTTGTGAATTTTTAATACTATAATCTGTAAAATCCAGAATCTTACAAAGCATTGTCCAAAGCATTCCAGAATGTTCCAAATTAGAAAGGCTTTTTTATAGATCATGATTCAGAATTGTAGGAAGATTTGTGACATGTAACTTCATTATCAAGTCCTATTGTTCTTGGTTTCATTCCACAAGAACTTTCTCTATGTCTGATTTTCTAAGGTCTTATTCTGTGTCTGTCAACTAAACTTTGCAGATCATTTTTAGTTTCCACTTGTAGCCTATTAAAATTTTTATTTAGATCAACAATAACATTAGTAAAATGACTTTTAAAAATATGTATAATATTTTCTCTAAAGTATTAAAAGAATGATTACCTTTTCTAAGTGAAAGGTGTGATTGCATTTTATAAGTAGAAGTAATAAATGCCTAACCATATGCACAAATAGAGAATGTGGTATGTTTTATTGTTAGGTTTTGCCTTTGGTGTTCAACAGCTTCATCCAGCCCTTATACAAAGACCTTTTGGGTAAGTCAATTAATCAGGCCCTCCTAAGTTTCAATATGGATATCATTTGTTAACCTGCCTCTTTTTTATATCCAGATAAGACCATCATGTCACAGATTGTTCCCGGTTATACATATTTATATGTGTTTGTGTATTTTGAATGCTGATAAAATAAATATTTTTAGATGAGTCAAGTTATCTGACCAAGTATGCAGCCTCCAAAACAGACACATTTGAGCTCATGATTAACAAAACAAAACAAAACAAAACAAAACAAAAATACCAGGTATGACTTGTGTACCAGACGATTGTGTCCCAACACCATTACTACTGTTCAACTTGACTCAATTGTATTTATCTCTTTCTAACCTGACAGGGCTCGTATACAGTTAAGCTAACTGATCAGAAGGATACGATGATAAGAGGTGGAATAGTTCTGTTTGGAATTAAACTCTGTAACCAGTAGACTCAGACACACAAGCTCAGATGGTGATTAACGATGCATGGATGTTGCTGTTGTTGTTTTATTTTTCACAATAGTCAATAGACCTCCGTGTGCTTTATTTTATTTATTACAGTAATGAAGTGGTGTTGATAGCTAAACTGTGTGCTTTTTTACTTAATTGAAAAGAGCTGTAGTGAAAGTGTTTTCTTTTCCTCGGGGAAGGGGCTCTTTGTGTTTTTGGTTTTGGTGGTGGTGTTGACGGGTGTTGACTTTTGACTTTGCCATGGGAAGCAAAGGGCCTTTTTATTCCTTGCTTTTAAGCTGTAGCCTGTGACTTCCATTTAACCATATTTTTGTAGTGAGTGCTAAATGGTGTGATTTCTCTCTGTAAGAATACAGATTCATCGCTTGCATGTCCTAAGTTTCTGTTTTACTGGGGTGTTTTTCTGGGAATGGGGTTCTCTCTTTGGCAATGTATATCCACTTCTAGGCCTTCTAATGTAAAGGTTCAACAACTCTCATCAGATTTCATTAACACTGGCCAGTTTTTTGAGTAGAGTAGCACTAACTTTCACCTTTCAGACCTGACTCAGGTGAACAGCCTGCTTATATTTGTGTTCTGTGGGTTCTGTGATTACCAGCTTTCCTCATCCAAGCTCCCCCATTTCCCTTCCATTCAGACACGATATGGGTGGGAGATCCCCACCTACCTCAATTTATTCCGAACACCTAGGGTGGTCTGTTTTGGCTGTTTTCTACCTGATCAACATGGTTGTAACTCTAATGCCAGAGATTTACACTCTCTTTTTAAATATTCTAACTGTTTAGAAGTGTTTCATCCTCAACAATAGTTTCTTCTCTAGCTTAGCACCTGAACATCTACATGTGTAACCTGGAAGGTTGGATTCTACCTACAAAGATAGATGTCTACCTTATGTATCTCCAAGAATAGATCCAAAAAAGTAATAATAATTTGACTTGGAAGAGTCAAGATATATTTTCCACGAATACCTTCTTTATAACCTTCCCTTTACCATATCGAGATCTCACTTACTGACAACCCTTACTTTTTTTATAAGCCGTAGAATAGTCTTCTGTCCAGTATGATTACAAAGGGCCTTCGTATACCCATAACAATTTATCAGTGCCGCATCCAAACCATTCCGGATACTGATGATAAACAGTGGGTTGATGGGTCCAGCTACTTCTGTGGATCCCCCTCTCGTTGGTCTAGACTATGTTTAAGGTAGAATTGGGGACGAGAACATACATCTTAAGAAGTGATGGTGAACTTAGTCATGATCTCACATTAATAATCTTGAGACAGTTGTTAATACAGCTAAATTGATCAACCGGTATTAGCATATGAGTATTTTTCTCTGTGCTAGGGGATGGTACAAAATAAGGAGATTGCACTTTAGTTTGGGGAGCCAAACTAACACAAACGAATCAGGAACTATTAATTGTTAAATTACTTGGTATTATTTTAAGTACAAAAGGAATTCAGAAGAGCAAGAAAACAGGTGAGTTGGAGGAGTTGGACAAGGCTTTGTGAGGACTGGAACTAGACTTGGACCAGTGGGTAGGTCCTGGACAGGTAAAAGGAAGAAGGGACATGTCTAAAGGGTGTAAAATGAGGGGAGGCTCAGCAAGGGCAAAGAGGAGAAAAGACTCAGTGCATGGAGAAACCAGACTCTTATGGAGGGTCTTGAGAGCTAGAATAGAAATTTGGACCGGCTGTGGTAGTCCTTACAGATCCTTGAGAGAGAAAGTAGCACAAGGGCAATAACAACCAGAATAAGATGTGTCATATGGAAATTTTAAATGAAGCATATTTTGATAGTAACCCTTGGTTTTTCATCCCTTCTAATATTAGCTGTCTTTATAAAGGATGGTGATTATTACTGTTTGCATAAATTGTTTGAACTTGAGATTCTTATTAGAAATAGATAGCATTCCAGATAGACCAAGCAAGCCTTCTCTTTCTTTTTTAAGGGATTCTTAACACTGCTCTAATTCCCGGAGTCTGTACCTAACAAATCACACCTGGTCATCCTAAATTCTATTTGAATGCCACATGTTCTTATTTTTAGGCCTGAAAAGAAGCTTGAGAATTTTTAATCTTACTGGACTTGTTTGAAATTCTAGGAACTATTTTTTTATATGGTCTTTAAATGGCCCCCAGATTACTCTGGGCCTTTAAAGAGAAAAACCTTGGCCTGAAGGAATTTCTGATGTAACACAGTGGGCAGATGTACAGAAATTTGTGGATTTGCTGAACAATATCTTATAAATATTTTATATTTGAAAGAATCATTTTCTTATTGAAACGTTGGAGAGGAGAGCCTATGGATCTTGAGTAGAAAATTCTGGGCTAGTTGAGAATATGTTGAAATACACTTAAATATTTACTTAGTAAATATTTAGCACTTAGCACTTGGTACTTAGCACTTAGTACTCCTTTAAGTGCTAAGTTTAAAGGAGTACTCCTTCAAGTGCTAAACTTAGCACTTAGTACTCCTTTAAGTGCTAAGTTTTACTCTAGTTGTGTTAACGCATAATAAGTATTATACTGTCCACTAAGTGGAGCAGAAGGGACAGTAATTAACATTAACTGAACACCTGCTACTTGCCTGGTACTGATAAGGGATTTATATAAATTTTATAATTTAATTATCCCAGTAATTATTTGATGAACGCACTGTAATGTCCTTTCCATGGGTGAAAAATTGAGATGCAGAGAGGTTAATTAACTTCCCTCGGGGACTACTAAGTGATAGAGTCTGGTTCTAGGTTCCGAATCATGGCCTCCAAAGCCATGTTCTTTCCTCTGTGTCAAGCTGTAGTCTGAAAGACACAACTCGGCTCTCTCTTATAATCTAGTAAGAAAACTGAGAAGCGCCCAGAAGGGCTGTCTATATGGCTTCAGATAAGGCAGAGAGACATCAGGTTGGTGGGATCCAGGAAGTCTTCATGAAAGAGGTAGAAGTTGACCTAGATTTTAAACTATGATGGAGGATAGGGAACTCTTGCAATGAATATATTCCTCACTGTAGGCTCTTCACATAGATAATTTTATTTAATGCACGGCAATTCAGGGTTGGAAATACTAGGACTGGAAATATTAGGTTCATTTCACTTACGAGAAATATATGAGACTAAAAAGGTGAAGCAAATTCCTGAAGGCTTTACACGTGGTGAGTGGTAGAGCTAGGGTAGATAGGATTGCGATTTCAACAGGTAGAGATGGAGTGAGGATTGGCATCCCTGACAGAGGGATGTCGCGAGCAAAGGCGAAGCTCTAGGTGCGTGTGGTATGTCCAGGAAACATTGAGGAGCTCAGCTGACCTGGGTTCAAGGAAAGGTGAGAAGAAATACTGGAAAAAGTATTTTGGAGCCAGAAGTATAAAAGGCCTGGCATGCCAAAGTTTAAGAAGTTTGCACTTAGTTTGGTAGGATGTTAGGGACCTAGGTTACTTTAAACAAGTGAATGAGATGCAGCCTGTGTCAGCAGTTTATGTGATAGGTTGAAAGAGGAAACCCTTTAGGATGTCAAAAGTCACAGAGAGATGCCAGAGGGACCTGAAGAGATAGGAAGAAAAGGAAAACATAGTAAAGTTTCTTTGAAAGTTGTCCGAAGTGTCGGCTTTGCTCTTGTGCTTTTATTTCTGCTAGGCATTTACATTCTATGATTCACTGAGGGAAGGGATATTGGTAGCTCTCTAGCAGGAGGGAGATTCCCAAATTGCCTTAATGGGCTCCGCAGGCTATTAAAAGAGCTCCTAATACAGGAATTGCTTCAGAAGTGCCACCTCACCCTTTAGTCCGATTCTGCCGGCCTTCTGAACTATTTTAGTCTCTCCATGGTCTTCTGGATTCTCCTTTCCCTAAAGCCTTAAAAACTCTAGGGTTTCATTTGCCTGCTAGATAGCTTCCTAACCCTTGCCAGACTTCATGTACGTTTCTGATATTCTAAGGAACTTTATACTCATTGGTTGGCATTTTCAAGTGAAAACTATTAATGTAAAATAAACGCAGAGACAAGAGTCCTGTAAGCAGTGCTGCCTGTGTATCATTTAAAGCATTCTCCACACACACACACACACACACACACACACACACACACACACACACTTTTATCCTGCCTGTTTGTAGGCTAAACTTATTTTCAGTTACCACCTTTATTTAGAGATACAAGCCTAGCAACTATCGTGTTGTCTTTGGAACTTTGGGAGCACAGGGGTTAATGTTTCAGTATCAGTGAGATTCGTACTGGCTGGCCTTTGGAGCTGATAGATGTTTTACTTTGGCCTTATAAAGACATTTTACCCGCTGGAAACCCTTGTCGCATGACAGGATCAAAAATAGCCCGGCTGCAGCCCCTGCTGTCCATCACCACATGTAAACTGGCATGAGTAAGGCTTTCTTATCCGTGTCTGCACATCGTGGACACGGCGGCCTCCAGGGACGGTGTTTCATAAAGCCACACCTGTCGCTCTGAACGAGCCAGTCACCTGACCTGCAGAGAAGTTCTGAGTGTGTGCATGACCACGAGTCTGGTTTCTGACAAGCAATTAAGAACATCTCTTAAGTGTCCTCAGAAACACTTGATGACGTCGTTTCTCCTGGCACTGGGAAAGATCTACAAGTCTAGTAAAATTGAGTGTATTTTTATCATCGGGGTCAAAGTTCACTACCCTCTGTGATAAATTCATCTTTTCCATGGATGTTGGTTAATGAGTGCTTTCAGTAAAACTCTGAAAAGGCAAAGCAAAATTTATGTTTTCATAATCTAAATATGAAGTTTTCTGTTTTGAGTTCTTTAAAATTCAAAGATTGTTACTTGTGCTTGTACTTCTTGTAAGCTGCTTTTGGCAACAACCAGATGGCATTATGGTGTCATATTTTTAGAAATATAGGGGGTTTTGATGGAGATTATTCTAAAGAAGGCTGAAAATCAGATATTCACAGTAGCGTTTTAACTGGGCAGTTATGAATCGCAAGAGTGAGAACTGAGATGCATGGTTCTTTTAAAATACCTCTTGTGATTTCTTTTTTTTTTTAACAAAATTAACTTTTAAGTAAGGCCATTGGAGTGTGTCTTGTATGTGACTTCTGAATGTATCATTTTAAAACGTACTCAATTTTGTTTCACTTTCTAGAACTTTTGCAGGATAATACACCATAATAGAATTGATTTGTATAAAATATCTACCAGTAAGGAAGATTTAAAACAGATATGCTAATAAATCTATTTCTGTTGAGTTAGAGGATTAAACAAGACTTAGTAGATGCTCAAAAAAAAAAGTTTCCTTACTCTTATTATGTAATCCTTTTAAGTTGATATTAATTTTAGAAATATTTAGTTGTGTTTCCCTGACCCTACCTTTTCCCTCAACCTCATCATTTCCCCAAAACCCCTTCTGTCTGTCTTGCATAGAGATAAACAAGCTGGCTGACCTTCAGTTGCCTGATAGTCAAACAGGTTTGATTGACCCTTGTGTCTTTATGAATTTAATGGAGAAAAAGAAAGAAAGAAAGACCAAAAGCGTGCTGCACATCTCTTTGGGAATCACTGCCATGAATGTTAATAGCATTTCTGTAGCTTCCCACAACAGCCTCTTGTGATAGAGTGAGCTGCACTACAGTTCGTTTGAGAAGTGTGATTCTGCTGTGTTTACCACACTTGTGATCTTTTAAACTCCTTTTTTATTTTGGCGCCTGCTTCTCTTTTCATTATTATTATCTTTAATAAGGGTGACTGAGGTTGCAGAGAGATTAATGTGTGCTGAGTCTGCATAGCAATTTCCAGTAGGGTTGCCATGATAATAAACATACGGCTTTTGTTGAAATTTACTGTAGTTTTTGAGAAACGGGCCAGCACCCTTATGGAATTGAACGATCACAGATTCCCTTTGGATTCCTGGTTTCACGGTTAAGAATTTTTCTATTGTCTAAACCGTTTTTGTTGAACGAACTCACCACAAAATTTTCTCAAGTCTTAATTCAGCATTTATTAAATACCTCCTCTGTGTGAGGCCCTCCTGAAACTTGATTTATTTTTCCAAACTTTGGCTCCATGCCATTTCTTGGCTCCAAAATGATCCTGAATCAAAATTCTGGCAGGGAGGGTAGCCTATTTTCGTTGTTGAATTCCTTCTGGGGCACTCCATGATTTGGGCTCCCGCCAGAGTACTTTCACAGGTGACTGGCAAGTCGATATTGTGGCAACCCTATGCTCATAATAACCACTAAATTTGAGTTTGGTCTGATCTCGGAAGAAGCCATGCTCCAGACAGGAGGCAACTCCTGCCTGACTCTGTTTTCCGTTTCTCGACAGGATACCTGCCCACTATGTCTATCCTCAGGCTTTTGTGCAGCCTGGAGTGGTCATCCCGCACGTCCAGCCGACCGCAGCGGCCGCCTCCACCGCACCTTACATTGACTACACGGGAGCCGCGTACGCACAGTACTCGGCGGCCGCCGCAGCCGCCGCCGCCGCCGCCGCCTACGACCAGTACCCGTACGCAGCCTCCCCGGCTGCCGCTGGCTACGTCACGGCCGGGGGCTACGGCTACGCGGTGCAGCAGCCAATCACCGCCGCCGCACCTGGGACCGCGGCCGCCGCCGCCGCCGCAGCTGCCGCCGCCGCTGCCTTTGGCCAGTATCAGCCTCAGCAGCTGCAAACAGATCGGATGCAATAGGCCAGAACCTGATCAAAGTCGAATTGTTTCCTCTTTCCCGCCCGATTTCCCAATTTTCAGTAGCTAATAAGAGTTAACATTGACTTAACAGCTTTAAAAAAAAAAAAAAAAAAAAAAAGCTATGCTATTGTGAAGCAGAATTATGATGATTATTTTTTTTAATACTCCAGTAGTAGTTCTAGACGTGAAAGAGATGAGAATGAGGGGGGGAGTGGGCGCAGTTTTGGAAATCAATCCCAAAGAGCCTGAGTAAGTAAAAGGCCGCGACGAAACGGTGGCAGGAGGAAAAATGGAACTTCACTTTTATAACGGGATTTTTACTTTTGCTCTTTTTATAGTATCAGGGAAGCAAACTGCCTTTTACCAGTTAGAAAATGCTATTTGAATCCAGTTGAACCAGGGAATACAGAGTGAGCAATATGTAGCTTGAATTACATTTAAAAGCAGATTTTTTTTTAAAAATGGTGAAAGCACTGATTGTCAGTTTTAGCAGTCACTATGGCCTAGAGAACTTTTTCAAGAAGGTAATGTTCTTACTCTCAAAAATGGGCATCGAACAATCAATCTAGGAGCATGGCAGTGGGTGAAATGGTGGACAGGCACCAAAGCTATTTTCTCATCTACCCAGTGGATGAGTGGGACTGTGAAACAAGTGATGTGGAATGAATGGGTGCAACAGCTGTACAGACAATCAATAACACACACAGTTCTGGAAAGAACACATCACTTGTGCTTGTTTGATGAGCTTGTCACATTCTAATCCCTCTCCCCATCCTGTTTCAATTTTGGGAAACTTGTATCTGCTGGTGTCAGCAATTCTGATTCTGAAATAGGATCAGGCTTTTACTACAACAGCCTTCTCTTTCTATTTATTGTGTCGACTCGTGGCTTATGATTAAAGGCGGGCAAAGTTTGCAGACTCTAAACCCTTAAGAACTGTCTTAAGGACATTTATTTTTTTCCCTTTTTAAATAATTTTACACTTTTTAGTATCTATTTCAGAGTCATATTTAAAACTATTTATTAGTGAATACAGTACATGAGACAACAAGGTTACTGAGATTACAGTTCTTCAACAATTAATGATAATGTGGTTTATACTGTGCCTTAATAGTAATGCTATTTAAGATATTTATTTTTAAGTTTTACTATGCTGCACTCTAAAGAAAGGAACTTTAGATGTGACACTGTAAAATTATGTATTCATCTCATGGCATAAATTATTTAGTAGGTCTAGATGTAGCATATTAAATATTAACCTATTCAACTAAAGATGTTGACTTGGATTTATTTAAATTCATATGTGCACTGTATAAGAGAGTACTCTTACATTAACACATTTTAGTTTAGTTTAGTTTTTAGGTTTTTTTTTTTTTTTAATTTTTAACAGGACCTATTGCTAGTTTCATGCTTCCTTCTCTGATTTTTGCTCGTGTAGCTCTCATTTATTGGTACTTCATTAGTTTAACACTCTTCTTATGTAGTTTATGTAGTTTTTAAATGCTGCTTTACATTTTTCTTCTGAAACTGCAATACTTGCAATTTTTATTCTTAAAGTAAATTGAATACTATTTTACACTGTATTGGATTTTTATACTTGAACAATTTCATACAAGGGAAGACAGGTTAGCATTTTTATGGACTTTCTCCATTATCACTGGATTTACTTTAAGTATTCCCATACTAGACAGTGTTATGTAATGTAGACATGACTCTCCTGTGCAAATTATTTATTCATTGTGTATATTGCTTTATAACATTTCAGATCTTCTAATCTATTCACTTGTATTAAATATAATTTTTAAAAACTTTTGTTGCATTGGTTGTTTCTAATTTTGTTGTAAAAGTGGAATGATTTCTCCCTTTAACTAGAATTAATGGCTGTGATTTACAGGTAACATTTTCAGTGAGCAGAAAGCTTCCCAGATGCCCTGCTTTTATACCTTTTAAGTAAATTTCATTAACTCAGTATCTGCCTTACATTTAGCAAATGATATAGGTCCTCCCCCAATAGTGAACCCTAAAGGACGATTCATGGCAGTGATACTTGGTTACTTGAAGGTTGCTTGGAAGGAGTGGGCTGTAGATGGGAACAGTCAACTCAAAGCTGGAGTAGCACAGTGATGCTGGGATCAGGTAAACTGAGGTTTGGTGCTAGCCTGTACCAGGTACTAGCAACGTGAATGGAACACGTTGCTTTTTGTAGTTCACTTTTGGGGTGAGGTTTTTATTGATTTCTCGTCTATCATGTTGGACGGTACTACATATCTTACATGGTTATTTAAGTATTAAAGTATATCAACTACTTGGCACAGTCAAATATATTACTATTTATCTAGATAAATGATTACTGGTAGCACTTGTTGTAATGCCCTATAGTGAAAGCTAACCGAAGAGGAAGTCACCTCTTGGAATGTTTCTATTTTTAAATTTTTGTCCACAGTGATGTGGCCATATCTAATAATGTGTGTCTTAGAACATCGCATGAATGACTGTCATATTGTTTTAAAGTATACATGTTATGTTAATTATGTAATGGATTGTTGGTCCCTTGGTCTTAATATTTCCCAAATGCATGATATGATATCTTTTATTGAATTCCATTAGTTTTCAAAAATTATAAGCAGCAGAAAGTTATAATAACAGATTCCATCATGCTTTCTTTTTTTTTTTTTTTTTTTTTTTTTTTTTTTTGGCCGCACGGCATGTGGGATCTTAGTTCCCTGACCAGGGATGGAGCTGGTGTCCGCTGCATTGGAAGCAAGGAATCAAAACCGCTGGACCACCAGGGAGGTCCCAGACTTTGTACTTGATGATAACTATCATCCTGTTTAGAGCCATCATAATCTCCAAACTTAACTGCCTTTAATTTTCCAAAGAAATTAGATACCACCATATCCCTAGGGAGAGATTTTATTGCACCCCAAGGTATTATCTTGGATCAGTAAAATAATTTTCTAAGCTACTTAATTCAGCCAATGCATCAATGATTATTCCAAAAGACAAGTTCAACATTTAATGTTTCAGATTTACAAAAGGTCACTTTTGTCCCCTGTAAGTCATGTATTGATTGCTGAGCTTTAAAATGAAACATTATTTGATTTATCAATTAAAAATAGGTTCTTGGAAAAGCTTGTCAAAAATAGCCACACTCAGGGAAGTCAAAAGTCCATGTATCCCTGACTATACCTTTCTTGGAGGTATTTACTGATCAATATTAGCAGTTATAGAGAGGGTGAGATTTTTACTTTATAATGCTAAAGCATGTATTTTTTAAATAAATAAAAGTTCTTAATTTCTAATGAAGAGGGGAGAGTACCCATGACACAATGTCTACCTCGGTCAGGAGGTTAGTTGTATTTGTATAGTTGGAGAAAGCAATGGTCTGAGATCCAAATTGCTGGCCAAGTTCTGGTTTCTTTACTTACCAGCAGGGTGATCTTGAACCCTTCTATCCTGGTAACGTGTAAGCTGATAGTACTCAGCATAGTTGATTTGTTTACCTCTCAGATTGTACTGATCAAATGAGTTAACTGATATGAGAGCATTTTAGAAGTTCTGAACTATTAGGCAGATGGAAATTATACTGTGGGAATATATACAATATTAATTTGGAAATTGACCTCAGCAGTTGTCTGGTATGAAATGACCCTCCCAAAAGAGGACAAAAGTATCTCATGATGTTACCTGCATTCTGTCCCAACCAAGTCACAACTAAACTTGCTGTACAGCAAGAGCGGCACAAAAATCACATTGAAAGATGGAGAAATTGCTCAGGGGAAGGAAGGGGAGAAGAGAAGATTATGGAATATATTTCTCTCACAGGGGAACTATATTTAGCTCCTTCCTCACTCCTGTCAAATATTGTTCTTCTTAATTCCCTCTGAGGCTTGAAAGTGTTCATTAAGATGACAGCCTGAAGTTTGCAGGGGCAGAGGTACAGAGGAACCAAAAAATAAATACATGCATTTTCATGCTTACTTTTGTCGTCTCTTTTCCTTCAAGAGTTCCAGGCTGTTTCCATGGAAATTCTAACTTTGTTTTGCTTAAGCACTTCATGCAGAAGAGGTTTCATTTTGGATATTTGCTCTGAGTTGAATTTTAGAAGTTCGGTAATGATTTTAGCTAAGTCATTTACATTCCAGACTTTGAAATCTCAATCATAAATCAAAATGAGAAGGAAATCAGACAGTACATGCATGTATAAGCACTTTAGAAATTTTAGATAAGAAAAAGGATTTTTAGCTTTGATATCATAAATTAGTTCTGTCTCAAAATTGCACAGTATTTGGTCATTCTTGACCAACTTATTCAGAAAGTACCCTTCTTTCCAGTCACTTGTCTCCCAGAAGATGAATGCAATTATTTTTTAAATTCAAGATGCTACCACTAAACTATCAATATAGTTTAAGTGAGTTGGAGGCTGTGCATTGTTTTCCATTTTTCCACACTTAGAGGTCATTCTGATTACATCATAACAGGGATTGAGTAGCAATCATGATTTCTTTTCATTTAAAAGTTCAGATAATGTGTTCCTAAAAGGACAAATAGACTGACTTCCAAAATGAGCGTGAAATACAAAAACATAGTTTTGCCAAGTAGAAAGTTGTGGTTTAGCTCTATTTTTAAACTATGTTCATCTGACAGTCCCAACCAGGTATGAACTTGTTTACTTTCTGAATACTCTGACTCTTAGCTGTGCCACCTGTGCCGTAGGTGCCTCAGGTGAGGCGAAGGAGATAGAGAAGATGCCTTTGGAGAGTCTTAGAGTACGCGCTTCCATCCTGCATTTGCTTATGTACATTTTGAAATTTGAGAAAAGAGTGATGTGCAAAGGAAGTAGAAGAAAATAATGAAGAAAATAAAAAAGCTTCCCTGAAAAACAAGTGAAAGGGGATGAGATGAAGGAGTGGGGGTCATGTCGGCCGGATCGCACGAGGTGAGGACTTGCCGCTAAGGGGGCTGCTGTGGGCAAGAGCCGGAGAGGGGCTGGCTGGATGGCAGGAGACTTCATCTGTGGGTGAGAGGGTGGGGGGTCATTTAAAGGACACGAATTAGATATCTAGTTTTCTAGTTAAATAAAAGGACAACAGCTGAATTTTTGAACTATGCTTGCAAGGTTTAGATGTTTAAGAAAAAGGAGTATATTTTTTGTAACTGAAAGCTGGTAGAAACAGACAATTATGGTGCCTTTGGTAGGATCAGATAGAGCTTCATCAGGGCCCTTGGGCCTCCAGGGATAAGGAACAGTGGAATTCTTTGATCTATCCTCACTTTCCGTTTTAAGCAGACAAGCGAGTCAGAAAAGAGAGGAGGAAGATTAAAGAAAATGTACTTACCTTGCTAACCAGTATACTTTCCTTCTACGTATGAAAAGGTCATTTGTGGCTGAGAAAGGCGAGCTCTTCACATCGGTGTTTGCACATGCTTTGCTGCTTCTGCCTCCATGCGATGCTGGTCGCTCCTATTGATGGGCCTTTGGAGAAATAACAGAAAGTTTGCGAAGGGATGCGAGGGAAGCGGCCTGCACCACTAACCACACACCGTGTACCAGGTGCGTGTACGTAATCCTCATTAAACATAAGGTAAGCAATGGTATCCCCGTTGAGCAGTAAGCAGCTTGCCCAAAGCCACAAATTCAGCATGGTGCAGAACCGGGATTTCAAGTTGGGGTGGCCTGAAAACACATCCTCTGTACCCACCACCTCAACACACTGATTCCTGACCCTGTTCTTTCTAGTGAACCCTATGTGCTTCCCCTGGGTTCCTTAGCACCTGTCCTCAATCTCCTGTGACATATGAGCAAGTGACCACTGAATTAGTGGAGGCAAGATTCCTGCACGTAGGTATGAATTCTGAGAAGAATGGGGATAGAAGATTCCAGGGGGCTGAGGAAGCTTTCAGCGTTGCTCTGAACATGTCTGATTCATTCCCAATTACAACTGAATCCACTCCTTTGACCTTTAGCCTGACATCTAACTGTACTTTCTGTACCTGCTTATCAGTAGGGAACCATCTTAAAAAATTTAATGCCGATTTTCTGCACTATTCAACAATAATATTTTTAAAACCCTCCACATAGAGATCAAACTAGTGGTTCTTACCAATGGGGAGAGGGGAAGGGGGAGGGGCAACACAGGAATAATCGTTTAAGAGGTACAAACTACTATGTATAAAATAAATAAGCTGCAGGATATATTGCCCAGCACAGGAAATACAGCCAATATTTTACAGTAACTATAAATGGAGTAGAATCTTTTAAAATTGTGAAACGTTATACACCTGAAACATATACTATTGCAATCAACTATACCTCAATTTAATTAATTAATTAATTAATTAATTAATTAATTTAAAACACTCCATATGCTTATCATCGATCGTGATCAGCAATGTGCTTGGCATAAACCAATGCCCGATGGAAAGGTAATACACTGGGAGAGTGTAACTGGCCAAGTGGGAAGTTCAAGCAAGTGTCCGAATTCCCAGCACAATTCAGAGGGGGATTTTAAGTACAAAATCTTACCTCAAGACAGCCTCTTCAATAAGTGGTGCTGAGAAAACTGGACAGCAATATGTAAAAGAATGAAATTAGAACACTCCCTAACACCATACACAAGAATAAACTCAAAATGGATTAAAGACCTAAATGTAAGGCCAGACACTATCAAACTCTTAGAGGAAAACATAGGCAGAACACTCTATGACATAAATCACAGCAAGATCCTTTTTGACCCACTTCCTAGAGAAATGGAAATAAAAACAAAAATAAACAAATGGGACTTAGTGAAACTTAAAAGCTTTTGCA